ATCTCAACTGATTTCTATTACATCAAAAAGAATATTTATATCATCCCTAAACTCTTGTCAGAGAAATCCTGTTCAATTTGTGAAGAAGTTGTTTAATTGAATGCAACTGGAAAATATAATGTAAGTATTTTCTTTATTCCTGCATATGCCCATACACCAGAGGTGGGTTTCAGCAGGTTCTGACCAGTTCTGGAGAACCAGTAGCGGAAATTTTGAGTAGTTCGGAGAACTGGTAAATACCACCTCTGGCTGGCCCCGTCCCCATCTATTCTCTGCCTCTTGAGTCCCAGCTGATTGGGAGGAAATGGAGATTTTTTAGTATCCTTCCCCTGCCACGTTGACCAGGAAGGCCCACCAAACCATGCCACATCCACCAAGCCACACCCACAGAACCGGTAGTAAAAAATTTTGAAACCCACCACTGCCATACATTCTATATCTGGAGAGGCCTGTTTGAGTGCCAAGGAGAGAAGAAATAAAATCTCTCTGGGCAGTAACGAATGTACTCTTTGCTCTTAAACATATTCATATCCAAGTTGTTTGGGATTTGTTCTGTAGTAAGAATACACAAGATACTTTTCAAAAGTGGAATAATGACTACAAAATCATTGATAGTTCAGTCCTTGTTTACTAATAAGCTGCACTGATATAGTCACTACTGATTTCGCTATCAGAAAATGCTTTATTTGTATGGTTAGGGATAGCTTACTTTGTGAAAATGGAAAAAAAAATACTTTATTTACTCTGGTGTTTCCCTAACATAACTTAATATGATTTTTTCCTATGAAAAGAGGCTTTCATAATTTGGTATTATTAATTTGCATGTTTCTTTTAATAATAATTTAAAAATAATTTAAATTTATTTATTTATTAAATTTATGTATTATTTAAAAACAATGAACTAGGTTAGTTGATTTTTATCAGCAAAATTCTGATACCCAATTCTGAAGATAAAGAATCAATTGCATTAATAAAAGAGATGCTTTGTTAGTTAACTTTTTATATAAGCAGGTTTTTTTGGTGCAAGGAAATGAATTGTTCCTGTTGAAAACATATTTGTTTGCTATTCCAAGAGACTTCCCTCCATATATTATTTTCTATTCCCTTTGCCTTATTTTTACATGCAGCTTAATAATGCATGGGATAAATCACAACTTTTTCATTCTTTCAATACTGTTGCAAAAATGTACGTTCATACAGTTTTGCCATGTGAATTTAATCCCTCTAAAGAACATATTAGAAGGCAAAATTTACCAGTGTCAGAAGAATTTGGTTTATAATCTCACTGTTTAGCCTAGTTTTATATTTTAAAAAAAGCTTTATGCCTACTTTAATCCATGCCACATGCAGATGACCTGAGCAAACCCAACAGTAAGACAGAAGCCTTGTTGTATATACATTGAACAGTTGCTCAAAATTTGATGCACCAGCTGTGGTTTGACCAGTTTGGAAGTTAAGGGAAACTTGATCTTTTAATCTTTACTTCAGCAGACAGATTACAACTGTTTCCAAAATGTACCTGTCAGTTAAACTTAGTACAAAATTTGAAGAGAGGGCTTTATTTACATATGAATATTTTTAAAAAGATAGGAAAAGTTAATAAAGAAGACACCAGGTTTTTTCCCTCCATCATTTTATTTGTACTCTTCTTTATCAGTTTGCATGCAGTAAAAAAAAGTAAGAGCGTTAAAAATTATTATGATTTGAGTGAAATTCTGTCATTTTTCCCATTGATTTCTCTCTATTCTGCTTGATGTAGCTGAGCTAAAAGGACTTAGTTAAAACAACGATTGTTGATTTTGGCTTCTGAAAATAAAAGAGTCAGGTAATCAGTAACAAAAAGTACCAAATAACCAGTGTACACAAGTATTTTATAACAGACTAATTTTAAAAACTAATAGAAGATACTGTGTGATAGAAACTATCAGTTCTAGTTGGATGTACAGTCTACTTATGTATCATCTCCTTATTTTTTTGGCACAGAGTAATGCACACTCCAATAAATCATTGTAAATTACCTCACAACTCATGTTGCAACTGAGCTGTAGAACATTCTCTCTTAATTTTTAGTATGGACGGTACATAAGTTTAATAAAGTGGCTCATTAAGTTAATATTTCACTAAAATTTTGTTTATTTAATGCAGTATCTCAGTAGTTAATTAGGTCATACTAGAAAGAATAATAATTTTTATAAAATATATGAAAACTCTTTGTGTAGAATATCCTTTGTCAATTCTTTCTACTTTCTAAAAGAAAATAAAGTCAGATTTAATGTATTCAAATATTTTGTAAGGATCACTGTTTGAAAACTGAAATTCCTTTTTGCTTATGTTAATAAAAATATACTCACATGATTGCTCATAGCAAGGAATTAACTTCTGAATTTCCTATCAAAAGATTAATGGAGAAAATGCCAGTCTGGGGCCATTCAATGTAAAGTGGACAGTACTTCCTAAACATTTTCTTGTTTCTCAATGCAAGGAGTGCAGTGAGTGCCTCCTCAATTCAAACTTATAGTATCTTCACAAAGATTTTGATTTTTTTAAATTTTTTTTTAAAATTTTCCTATTATAATTAATGTCAGCACAGATTTAACAACAGCAACAGTTTGAAATTACAACAGCACATAACAACAAGATTTAAGAATGGTCCTCACAGTTGCATCCACAACAGTGTATCCAGATTCAGGCGCTTGGCAACTGGCAAATGGTTTCAGAGGCCCAAAGTCACATGATTTCCATTTGTGATTTTACTGCCAGCTTCTGACAAACAAAAGTAATGAAGAATCTGGCAGGAAGTCACAAACAGTGCTCATGTAACATTGCACTAAAGAACTGTGCAAGGTTTGCTTAACCACTGCCACAACTACTTTTGTAAGTTTGTGCAGTCATATGATATCCTGATTTTTGACTCTGTTCCTTAGTGATGATGTTGCCAGTCCTAATTATCATTGTTAAATAAGGAATAACAGCATTTCTTGATTGCTCTGAAATGTTCTCATTACATAATTTAATATTGAGTTATTCTGTCACTGAACACTAAGCCGAGTATGGCCTGAATAGTAGTTATTAGGTGTCTTTATTATATACATCACCAGCATTTTAAATGTAAGTCTTCTTTAGAGGATACATTCTCAGTGTTGCAGGATTGAAATATATAAAATATTTGATGCATTTATCAAATAGTCTTTATTCTCTTAACATATTCTCTTAAACATTTTAAAATGTGTGCCTTAGCATTGAAAATAGTAAAAGTTAAATATACCTTCTACATTTTATTGCTCATATGACACTTTAGCAATGCTAATCAGCTGTACTGATTTTCTGTTTTGATTTTTCTTAATAATTAGGCAAAAGATCTAGGATGCAATCATGTTTTACACTAGGGGGTTCATGCAAATAGCTCAAAACTTTTTTACATTGATTTTCTGTTATTGTTAAATATATTCAGAAGGAAAACTATTGACATTTTAAAAAAAAGAAATACAATTACCTTCTTAATAAGTGAAATACTGCTGAAATCAAAATACTGAAATCAAAATGCACAAGTGGGTACAATTTTTTATTTATTTTTTTGATGTAACTGACTCACTATTGAAAAAATATATACTTTTAAAATGTTGATGTTGATCAGGGGATCTAGACATACTTAAAGCTAGGAGCAGGCATGCTTAACTGTAATCCCTTCCCTTGTTACCTTTGTCCTATACCACTATTGTTGTTTTTTATCAGATGCGTTTTAATATTGAATGTAAGTCCTTTTCTGCAAGCAGGAATGAGTCCTTTTGCTCTTTAAATTGATTAATCAAGGCTTGCATTCTGTGTCATTAAAGCAATTCTGCTAAGAACATCTGGTTGCTCATGCCATTATATTTAGTTTGGTTTTCACTCACTGCCACTTTCCAATATAATTTCAAACCACGGTTTGTCATTATACATGAATTTACACAGTTAATAAGATAATATTTTGTGAGAAACTGAAAAACCAGGCAATCAGTAATATCAGCACAATTTACGCCTGAATTCACACATTACATTTATCTTGGCTGTCCCCAATCTTTTGGGCACCAGGGACTGGTTCCTTGGAGAAAGGCTTTTCCACAGATCAGAGGGAGCATGGTTTCACATGCTGCTTGCATCCCGCGGATGGGGCTTTTCTTGTTTGTGCAGCCCAGTTGCTGGCACGCTGCGGAGTGGTGCCAATCCATGAACTGGGGGTTGGGGACCCCTGCTTTAAAACATTAATACACATGAGGGTACAAATAAATTCAAAAATTTAAGTACTGAGAAATTGAAAACAGAAGCAAACAGCCACAATATGCCTGATGTACATTGTAGACACTGGAATGTATTGACTTATCTACTACACTCAAAATTTATTTCTTAATAGGTTTCTGATTTAACACTCGTTTTATTTCCTCCCAAACTTGCTGTCTTTCCTATACTCTCCCTTAACTCACCTTGGGGTTGGGTTATTTATCCAATGTTATATTTAATTAATAAATCTGAAGCCAACAGATGCAGGATGAGCTGACCACCACTTCCCAAAATATCTGGAACTTAGCTGGAGGGTGAAATTTTGATTAGGAAAAGCAGATTAAGAACTGAGCAGTTATCATAGTTTGTTACTGTAAATAAACAAAGTTATAGTTCAACTTGAAACTGCTTGGACATTTTGTAAAGTACAGACCGGCAATAAGGGATGTAATGTTAATTTCTGAACTTTTGCATGTCACTAAAACAGGTGCAAAACCAACATACAGTTTAAGAAGAAGCACGAGGCTGAAATTTAGTGCATTTGAGCATGGGAAGTTGTGTTAAACCATTCACAATCACTTGCTTTCTATTATTTCCTTAAGATGCTGCATGAAGCAGGTTTTCTCATTCTGTTGCATAACAGGATTGGCTTTAGTTGTTTACCCAAAGTATATGACTCTATAGTAGCTTGCATAGTATCTGGCCATTAATATTAGCAATCCTTTTCTTTTCTCTTTTTACAGGCATTTTGTTGAAAAGATGGTTCTTTATTTGGACACCTTTGTTCATTTCACACTCATGCTATTGAACCATTGGATAGCGTCAACCATATGTCTAAATCTTGAGGATCCAAATGTGTGTAGCCACTGGGAAAGGTAACATTACTTTTAATTAAAAGTTCTGTAATTTTTCTAGCATTGTTATTTTAATCAATGTATATGTAAAGTGTGCATCACAGGCAAACAGCAAGACATGGGTGACATTAGGAAATGACTATATTAAAAGATATAAAACCAAGACACAAGTGTGTACATGTATTTTTATGAATGGCATAAAACTACTAAAACAAGATACGGGTATAAAACAAAAATAGCAGCAATGAATGATGCCCCTCATTTATGAAGTAGGCAGACTCTATTTTCCAAGATTAACTGCCCCAAGAAGATTGCACAGACTGACTATAAACAATGGCACAACAAAGTAGCAACAATGATACTTTGGAATATGTTCAAGAAATATCATTTGCTTGCAAGCAAGAATTGCCGGACCACAAAATAGACAAAGCAATAGAAAATGAAGAAGCTAAAGTACTATGGGACAAACATCTGCCACAAATAACTTCAAATTTAACAATTGTTGATAAGAAGCATAAAAAGTCTGAATACAAGGTCCTGCAAATAGAAGTAGAACAACTGTGGCAAATGAAAGCAAAGGTAGTACCAATAATAACTGGTTCCTTGGATGCAGTCCCAAAACATTTAGACTGCCACTTGAATCCTATTGGCATTGACAAAATCACTATCGTGATCATCATCACTTAATTGCAAAAGGCAGCTCTGCTTGGAACTGCTTGCATTTTGTAATATCATCATTGCATCCTTTAATATCATTGAATGACAACATCTGCTTATTCCAGGTCTTTGGGAAAGACTCAATAGCTAGACAAAACTGCCCCAAACAGTCTAAACATCTGGCTAACTATGTGCCCAACCCAGGGGTGGGTTCTACTTACCTTTACTACCAGTTCGCATTGAAGTTCGAAGCTTCTGCACATCACCTATGATGACGTCCGGGTCGGTGGGCGGAGCCTCCCGCCGGTTTTACTACAGGTTCTTGTGAACCGGTCCAAACCAGGGGCAACCCACCACTGGCCCAACCATAATATTCATCATTTCATTGTATGCCCATAAAATAATATATTTTATTATTTTATAGTATTCAATAATCTAAAAATTAAATCAAACATTTCCTGTATTAATGCATACTGTAAGTGTTTGTAGTTTTGATGTGATCAATAATTGACTTCTCTTCTAAATTTTCTGAGGATGTCCTTGGGCTCATAAGTGGAAGAAGCAGAATCAGCAAAATGTGTCTTCTTTTTCTAACATACACCATTCTAGCACAATCCACTTGAAGGAAAAGAAATAAAAAACTGTGAACCTGACTAGTGATTTCTTCTAAGTATAGCAATATTTCATGTGACTTCCCATATTCAAGGGTGTGGAAGAGTATATGTACTAAGTATATAGAAATAATCTTGTATCTGAATTTAATAAGCAGAATTCCTAGCTAAAGGCTGCAATCTGCATTGTTGTGTTTGGGATTTACATTGTCTAAATTGACATAGAATGGGCTGAACTTTCTTGGATTGTCATAAACAGTAGGATCTTATTAGATTTGTAAGACATTGTATATTTATTTATTTTTTAAAAAAATTACATTGTTTAGATAAGCTTGAAAAGATAGACTTCTTGAATTAAGCTTGTTTCATGTTGACAGTACAGATAGTCCTTGGCTTACAAATGGTCACTTAATGGACATTCAACGTTACAACAGATCCCCTAAAAGATACTTACCAACTCCACTCAAAAGAAGGACCGCTGCAATGCCCCATTGTTATTTACTTTTAGGTTTAACCTCAGGGCCACTGCAGTAGGGAGTAATAATAATTATCTTATTATGTAATTATATAATTATTTTCACTCTCACCTTTATTTCCATCCTATTGAAATTTCTTCACTTAATTACTCTAATGAACTGCATGTTTAATAATTTTATTCCTTTTTTCCTGTGCAGTTATTCTGTTACAGTGCAAGAATCCTATCCCCATCCTTTTGATCAGATTTACTACACCAGCTGTACAGACATACTGAACTGGTTTAAGTGTACACGACACAGGTGATTTTTTAGTAATTCTATTTTGATTACCCTTTTAAAGTGATGTTTTATAAGTACTTAATAGTTGATACATATTAGAAACAGTAGAAAACATATTGAAGCATAGTGGCACATGGATAGCATTTGCAAAATCAGATGATATGGATATTTACATGTACAATGCCACTGATATTTACATATTTTCAAGATAGCCTTGAAAATATTATCCTGAATTTTGAAATGCATTACTAGATTAAAGAGGACTGTGTGACTTGCAAAGATCTTCTCTTTCTCTAAAAAGATAATTCAGTAAAATGGATATATTATTATTATTGGAGAACAGAAATTTTAAAGTGGTTCTGTAGTAAAACTACTCCTTGTACAGGGCAGAAGTGAAAATATGGCTTCAGCTGTGCATAGTGGAGCCACTGTGTGTGAGTTGGGTGGTTACAGAAATTAGTTTAACAAATAAACACATGTATTTATTTACTGATTCTTTTTGAACAATACAGAATTTGTTTTTAATGTTGAATCATTTTGAGTTTTAAAAGTTCTGAATTTGTAAATTTGTGACATGTTGTAGAAATACACTTTCTTCTTGCTGTGCTCACTTGTCTGACAATGGTTTTGTGCATTTCAAAATTAAATATTGGTCTGAATGTGTACCAATTCATTAGTGAAAATATTTAATAGCAAATGTAGGTTACAAATCCATATAGCATCAGCTGCAATATTTGTCATAGATCTTGAAAAGGATCTCCATTTGCAGATAATGTTGTTTATTTTTCTTTGTAAGAGATGTAGCTGATTTATAGAACAATCCAATTTATCCTTAAATAACCATAGCTAAATCTTTTGAAATAGTTGTTCACAAATTTTACATGTTCATATTTTAACAGAATCAGCTATCGAACTGCTTATAGGCATGGAGAAAAGACTATGTATAGACGGAAATCTCAGTGTTGCCCTGGATTTTATGAAAGCAGGGAAATGTGCATTCGTAAGTAAAATTATTTTCATAAGAATATCCAGCTCTTGATAATATGTTAATGACAATGCTAATGAAAATTCCCCAGAATGGGGAAACAAAATGTCTTTAGAAAAGCAGTGGGATAAGTTTGGCGGTTTACAGGTATGGGATGCTTCTTTGACACTAATTGATGTGGGGGGGAAGGTCTTAGTGAATATAGTAGTTATCAATTTGGCAAAGGAATGTTGCATAACAGAATAACAGAGTTGGAAGGGACCTTGGAGGTTTTCTAATCCAACCCGCTACTCAGGCAGGAAACCCTATACCATTTCTTCTTAAAAAGCTCCAATGTTGGAGCACCCACAACTTCCAGAGGCAAGTTGTTCCACTGATGGTTGTAATTGTCAGGATATTTCTCCTTAGTTCTATGTTGCTTCTCTCCTTGATTAATTTCCATTCATTGCTTCTTGTTCTGCCTTCAGGTGCTTTGGAGAATAGGTTGATCCCCTCCTCCTTGTGAAAGCCCTTCAGATATTGGAGCATTGCTATCATGTCACTCCTAATTCTTCTTTTCATTAAACTAGGCATACCCAATTCCAGCAACCGTTGTTTATATGTTTTAGTCTCCAGTCCCCTAATCATCTTTGTTGCTCTTCTCTGTACTCTTTCTAGTGTCTAAAGCATCTTTTTTTATGTCATGGCAACCAAAATTGGATGCAGTAGTTTAGTGCATTGAATGTGTGTACAGTGTGCATTGAAACGATCCTGCTGCACTCTTAAAAAGAGTGTTGAAAAGATTCAAATTAAGATTAGGACTATTTGTGTTACCATACACAGCCTAGACTTTGGGAAATGGCTTGTTAGTAGTTGTAGATTAACATATAATTAATTAAAAGAATACTGATATATGCATAAGCACAACAGCAGCTCTTTCACATGCCTCGGAGTCTCAATGCACACAATTTAAGTGTATAGAACTTAGTCATTTGTGCCATGCCGAGAGTTTATTGTGAAGAAACAAACCTGATTTGCCTGGATAGATCTTCTTATGAGGCATTTTGACAACTTGCATCCCATTTGTCAGCATTTTAGAGATTGAATGCACCTCTTTATGATTTAAATCACTTCCCTGAATTCTTTTTCCTTCAAAGTGAAGTGCAATGTTAATGTGTACATAATTTTGATTGACAGCTCCAGTTGGCAGTTTTGACTTCTTGTCTAGCATCTCTGGTGCCAGAATTAGAAGAGTCACTGATTATTTCTTCAGCTGTCAGTTAGTCAGGAAGATACTACTATAAGATTAAAAATGGATAGTGTTTTTCTTAAGCAAATTAGAACTAAGTGAATGAAGGAATGAATGAATGAAGGAAGGAAGGAAGGAAGGAAGGAAGGAAGGAAGGAAGGAAGGAAGGAATATCCTTTAGTTTAGTCATACAGCATAGCAACTAAAGACAAAACCGTAGTCTCTTTATATACAAGAAAATGACATAGATTCCACAAACACTGACTGTGAGAAGGGCATGATGAAAAGTTATTATTCCCAAACACCAATTTCCATAACAGTTCCGTCTGTTTGTATTTTTTTTTAATAATAAAAAAAGATCAGTTTATTTCTTGGGCACACATGGGATTTTTATTGCTGCCCTTTTTCTCTTTCACTGCTTCACATGGCCTGAAGTGATTCCACAGATCAACTCCTTTTTTGAATATATTTAGATTATAATAGTAAAATATAATACTAATTAAACTTGAAGAAGAAAGTATAGAAATAAGGAATAAAAAGTGCAAGGAAAAAGAAAAGAAAAAGAGAGAAGAAAGAGAAAAGTAAGAATATAATAAAGAAAGAAAAATGTGTATTTAGATGTGATTTCTCCCCCACAAGTATAAACAAATATAGTGATTCTTCACCTCCACTAAAGTTACAAACATTTATCATTTCATTCTATATCACCTCTCTTATTTATAAACAACTCCCTAAAACAACATATTTTAAGTTGTGATGTCAGCAGAAAGTCCATAAAGGACTGCCAGAACTACGGTAACAACATATCTTGTTTTAACTTTGATCGAATAAACCATCCTTATATTCCTTCCTTTTACTTCTATCAGTCTAAGCCAGTGGTGTCAAACCCGATCGCATTGCGCGTCATATCATGACATATCAGGATGTTTTTTGCCCTTGCAGAGCCAGGGTGGGTGTGGCCTGTATGAGCCACATCTGGTCTGTGGGCTGCCAGTTTGACATGCCTGGTCTAAGCTTTATTTCATTCAAATATTGTCATAAGATTTGATTTCTCTTAATTTCTTCTTTGACATTTTTCACAGACTTCTTCAAGGCTTTAACAAGCCTCCTTTATCAATCCTATAGAAAAAAAATATTCATTTTACTCTTTTGGTTTGTCATTTGTATTCCCCCTTTAAATTTTAAAACTTCAACCAGTTTCTTTTGTAGATCTAATGAAACATCGTTTTCTAAGTGATATTGGACTGTGAGACCAATTTTTGATACCTCTTTTGATACCATCTTATCTTGTCAGATAAAGTTTGTTCTACAGAAGACTGCAGTAGTGGAAAAAATCTCGAGACATTAGACAGTAGTTACCGTATTTTTCAGACTATAAGATGCACCTTTTTCCCCCTAAAAGGGGGTGAAAATTTAGGTGTGTCTTATACACTGAATGTAACCCCGCCCACCCACTGGCCCCCACCCTTTGGACTCTGCCTCCCAGCAGTTTACTTTCTTGCAACAAGCAGCAAGAAGAAACAGCCTAATTAGCACAAGTTGATTAGATTGGCCTCCCGACTCTCAGCTGTTTTGCTCTCAGCTGTTTTGCCCGGGCCTCTGCTGCTTTCTGCAAAGAGGTAAATTGCTGGGAGCAGATTTTTTTTTTCTTGTGCTAATCAAGCTATGCTGAAAATGAAAATGAAAGTAAAGCAGGCTATTTGCTGTTTGCTGCAATGAGGCAAAATTATTGGGAGGCAGAGGCAGAGGCAGATATCTTTTTCTTGTTTTCCTCACCAAAAAAGGTAGGTGCATCTTATAGTCCGAGCATCTTATACTCCGAAAAATACGGTAATTTAGCAATCTCATGGCTATTTTCTATTAGCTGTGTCCTAACCAGCAGTCATTTTATAGGTCCTTGCTTCTAAAATGCAAATATACCACTAACCCAACCCCCCAATTATGAATCTTGTTCTAGAATTGTTACAAGAGAAAAAAACAACATATGCTTATTTGTTACTCTGCACATTATCAACTATTATTAATCTATAGAGATTAGGCATCTGTCTGAAATAAGAGAGACAGATAAGTATTATTGGACAATAGTGACTACTTAGAAGGTTTTTTCATAACTTCAAATTTAGCAGATTAATGCTCTCATGTTATGTTTTCTTAAGACCTTAGATATTACTCTTTAAAGATAATTAACATTTATTTATTTATTTATTAATTCAATTTGTATGCTGCCCCTCTCCGAAGACTCAGGGCGGCTCACAATGCATTTAAAATCATTATAAAAAACATTTAAAAATTAAAAACATTAAAAACATTAAAACTCATTCATACCATTCATGGCCAGATCTCGCCGGATCACAAGAGCGAGATCAACAGCCCCAGGCCTGCCGGAAAAGCCAGGTCTTCACTGCTTTGTGGAAGGCCAATAGGGTGGGGATGGTCCAGACCTCAGGAGGTAACTGGTTCCAGAGAGCTGGGGCAGCCACAGAGAAGGCCCTCCCCCACGGGCCCGCCAGTCGGCATTGTTTAGCTGACGAAACCCAGAGGAGACCAACTCTGTGGGATCTTACCGGTCGTTGGAAGTTATGCGGTAGAAGGTGGTCTCAAAGATATCCTGGCCCTGAGCCATGTAGGGCTTTAAAGGTAATAACCAACACCTTGAATTGTAACCGGAGACCAATAGGGAGCCAGTGCAGCTTGCGGAGAATTGGTATAATGTGGGTGTACCTAGGTGCACCCATGACAGCTCGCGCAGCTGCATTCTAGACCAACTGTAGTCTCCGAACTGTTCTGTCCCCCCCACCTCACATGAGCAAAAGACATCTACCAGTAATTTATTTTTACAAGCCGGCCTGAATCCTTTGGCAGATAAAAGTGCTGGCAGCTACTTTCCGAATGCCTGCCAAGTTTCTTATCACCTCTAGAAACAGGAGTCAGCGTATCTGTAGTCTGTTGCTGGGGCAACCAAGAGTTCACAAGGCACAAAAGAGTAGTCAGAAGTCATTCACAAAGTCCAAGCCTTAATTCCGAAAGATATCCCATCCGAAGCCCACAATATGCAGTTTTTTGTCCGTCACAGAGCCTGCAGAGCAACCCCACCCACTTTTATTCCCTGTGGGGCATGGCTCAGTGACCCAGCAATCTCTGGCCCTTCCACACCTCTTCCTTTGCTGCACATGCCTCTCCCTCCGGCGCTGCCTGGGATCAATCCAAGATTGATCTTCATCATTCCCTATTAGTGGGTGCTCCAACATGCCTTCCTCCTGGCCTTCAGCTGGAACCTGAGGCATTGTCAGAAAGGAGGGTCCTGGAGAGGGAGGCCTTGTCAGTTCCTCCCCATCACTTTCAGAGTAATCTTCCTCCGTGAGGACAGGCTCGGGAGTCGGAGTCACAACATGAATACTTTTCAAGGGTAGCCCCATGCATTGCAATAATCTAACTGTGAGGTGACAAGGGCATGAGTGACCGTGAGGAGAGCCTCCTGATCCAAGTAGGGTCACAATTGGTGCACCAGGAGAATCTGTGCAAAGGTCCCCCTAGCCACAGCTGTCAGATGTTGCTCTAATCTTAGCTGTGAGTCTAGGAGGACACTCAAATTGTGAACCCATTTTGAGGGGGACAATTTCTCCCCCCCCCAGAACCAAGAACCACATATTTTATATTTATTCTTAAAAGTGCTGGAAAATTATGATAAAAACACATGTTTTTATCTTCGAAAATTTTTCTTTCAATGCAGCCTCATTATAAATATCCTTATATAGGTAGTTCTCCATTTGCACCTGGAATCTTGATAATTGCATGAAGCAGCTGTTAAGTGAAACATGTGACTACTTTGTATGATCACAATGATCACAATCCTGGCTCTCCCAGTTGTGGCTGTTAAGCAGAATGGCAGGGAGAGCCCTAGCCTCCCACAACACCCAGGAGGCCGGATTTTCTCTCTGCTCCACTAAGGGAAATGATTGACAAATGAGAGCATTTGATAGTTTAGTTTTAGTTTAGTTTAGTTTTATTTCATTTATATACCGCCCTACTCCTGAAGAACTCAGGGCGGTGAACAGCCACAAGATAAAACACATAAATACAAAATTTAAAAGCAGAATAAAACCGAATTAAACAATTTGGCTGAAGACAGATTTAAAACACCCCAATAATTAAAAACAGATTAAAATTTGCATTTTAAAAGGGAAAAAGGGAAAAAAATTAGGCCAGGCCAGCCTGATGGAATAAAAAGGTCTTGAGAGCACGGCGGAAGGTGCGTAGATCTGGGATCCTCCATATCTCTGGGGGGAGCTCATTCCAGATAGTAGGTGCCTCCACAGAGAAGGCCTGGGGGCTGCCGGTCGACATTGTTTGGCCGCCGGCACCCGGAGGAGCCTCTCTCTATGAGAGCGTACCGGCCGGTGGGAGGTTACTGGTGGCAGCAGGCGGTCCCGTAGATAACCAGGTCCTAAGCCATGGAGCGCTCTAAAGGTGGTAACCAAGACCTTGAAGCACACATGGAAGACCACCGGGAGCCAGTGCAGCTTGCGCAGGAGAGATGTTACATGGGAACGCCATGTCGCTCCCATAACCACCTGCGCGGCTGCACTCTGCGCCAGCTGGAGCCTCCGGGTGCTCCTCAAGGGGAGCCCCATGTAGGGAGCCTTGCAGTAGTCCAGGCAGGAAGTGACAGGGGCATGAGTGACCGTGTGTAAGGAGTCCCGATCCAGAAAGGGATGCAACTGTTGAATCAGGCGAACCTGATGAAAAATCCTCCCGGTCACGGCTGTCAAGTGCTCTTCTAAAGACAGCCATGAATCCAGGAGGACGCCCAAGTTGTGAGCCCTCTCCGTGGGGGCCAGCGATTCGTCCCCAATAGTCAGTGATGGCACCAACTGACTATATCGGAATGTCGGAAAGCACAGCCACTCGGTCTTGGATGGGTTGATCCTGAGCCTGTTTCTCCCCATCCAGATCCGCACGGCCTCCAGGCACCAGGACATCACTTCAAGGGCATTGTTGGGGTGATCTGGGGTGGAGATGTACAGCTGAGTATTGTGAGCGTACTGATGGTACTTCACCCCGAAACCACGGATGATCTCGCCCAGCGGCTTTACATAAATGTTGAATAGAAGGGGCGAGAGGACCGACCCTTGTGGCACCCCACATATGAGGCGCCTCGGGTTCGACCTCTGCCCCCCTGCCAAAACAGACTGCAACCAGTCGGAGAGAAAGGAGGAGAACCACCGCAACACAGTGCCCCCCACCCTAACTCTTCCAACCGGTGCAGCATGATACCATGGTCGATGATATCAAAAGCCGCTGAGAGATCTAATAGGACCAGGACAGAGGAGCAACCTCTGTCACGAGCCCTCCAGAGATCATTAACCAATGTGACCAATGCCATTTCTGTGCTGTACCCAGGCCTGAAGCCTGACTGAAATGGATCCAGATACACCGTTTCATCCAGGTGCTGAGGGAGCTGTCGCACAACCACACTCTCAACAACCTTCGCCACAAAGCGAAGGTTGGAGACCGGACAATAATTAGACAACACTGCCAGGTCCAGGGAAGGCTTCTTGAGGAGAGGCCTCACCACCGCCTCTTTCAAGGCAGCGGGGAAGTTACCCTCACTCAGTGAAGCATTTATAATCCCCTGGAGCCAGCCTTGCGTCACTTCCCGAGAAGCCAGCACTAACCGGGAGGGACACAGGTCCAACAAACATGTGGTCGCGTTCAGTCTACCCAGAATCCTGTCCACGTCATCAGGAGTCACAGGATCAAACTCATCCCAGATAACGTTCTCAAGACTTGCCTCAGTCATCCCCCCTGAAACTACCCAGCCGGAGTCCAAACCTTCCCGAATCTGAGTGATTTTGTCATACAGATACTGTACAAAGTCCTCGTCTCTCCCCTCCAAGGGGTCTTCCCGCACTCCCTGGTGGAGCAAGGAGTGGGTCACCCTAAACAGGGTGGCCAGGTGGTTATCTGATGACGCAATAAGAGCAGCAAAATAATTACACTTTGCTGCTTTTATTACACTTTGCCACTAGGTAATTCTTAATATGAGATCTTACCAGTGTCCGGTCAGATTCAGAAAGACTGGCCCTCCAACTACTCAATAGTGATTTTGTCAGAGTGGAAGTCCATTCCCTTGAAAATTTCTTGGCATGCTGGAGGAATGGACCTCCAATCTATTAAAAACACTAGCGAACACTATAGTTCTGGAAGGCTTAGAATGCTGGCCTTTTTGCCAGATTTGAGATCTTGTTTCTGCAATGCATGGGAGGATTTCTGCTCCCTGGATGGAGGGGAGGAGAAATCCTAGGGCAACGGACCTCAAATTGAACATCTCTCTCCTTGCATCCTTCTGTTTGCAACCTTCCCTGCAGGCTTCCCCATTGACTTTCTGGGGACGCTAATAGAGAAGATAGCAAATGGTGATCACATGATAGCAGGGCATTTGGCAACCAGTTGTAAATGCGAACAGGTTTTCAAGGTCCTGAAATGTGACCAGGGGAACTGGTTTGTCATTTTACAATAGTTGGGAGTGCTTTATAGACTGTAAGGCAGAAGTGGGGAACTATGGCCCCATTATGACTTGTGCACTTCAACTCCCAGAATTCCTGAGTCAGCCATGCTGACTCAGGAATTCTGGGAGTTGAAGTTCACAAATCATAATAGGGCCGTAGTTCCCCACCCCTGCTGTAAGGTTTCTGTTCCAAGGCTGTTGGGACCGGGAACAGTTGTTAAACAACCAGCCATAGTCTAATTGCTTCTAATCTATGATTTATCTCTTGGCTCTTTTTAAATGCTTCTTAGGGCAGAAAGACTAAAATATACCACTGAAGTTTCCTATTCATATGTTTCCTCCCATAAGAAACATTATCAATATATATTTGTATTATTTCAAATAAATAATCAAAGAATAAAAGAGGTGATGATAAAAATAGAAAAGGAAGGGGGCAGGAAGCTGTTCGCATTGACTGTTTGCAGACATTGACCTAACATTATCTAAACACAACAATTTTCAGAAGTTTCTGTTTTAATTACCAAGGTATTGTTTTACATTAATTTAGTAAGACATAAAATAAAGAAAAGATGAAAGGAGACATTTCTTTGAATGCATTTTTATATTAGAAACTGTAATCTTTAAAGTCATGATTATGAATTTAGTGCTTGATTAGAAAGCTGTGTATGAATGATATTTAATAAATATGAAATTTAGATTTTATAAAACCTTCCTATACAAAATGTTAATATTACTTAATACCACTGTTCCTTGTTTTTCATCACTGGGATCTCTATTTAGAGGGTTAAAATATTATGTTCTTTATTTCCTTTTCTTTTTGTCTTTTTGTATTAATTGTAGCAAACGAGGACAACTAGTAAATAAATACATATAGATGGTTGAAAGAATAATGACATATAGAGGACAAATGCAAACAAGAATGGAACAACTTAGCCTCTTAATTTTAAGATGAAACTGGAAATGGCCAGGTTGCAGAAAAGCAACCTTCACTGTTGCTTTTCTGCAACCTGCCCCTTCATTGTTTTTATTCTTTCTGATTTTTCATTATCTGTTTCACTCACCCTGTTTCTTTGACAGCTCACTGTACTGATAAATGCATTCATGGCCGTTGCATTGCTCCAAACACCTGTCAGTGTGAGCCTGGCTGGGGTGGACCCAACTGTTCAAGTGGTAAGTCTGCATCTGCTCCTGTCAGTCTTCTATTCTGTCTGTTCTGTTGCTCTTCTTTGCAGGGAGATTAAAACGCTGTTGTGCTACAGTTCTTCCGCATTTGAGATATCACTTCCAAAGGGATAGAATGCTCCACATGTGATCCAGTCTGTCTTGTTTTCAATTTATTAAATACCAACGTTGCTTTATTATTATATAGCATATTCTTTAGTAAATTAAAAGCATCTGAATCACAGGGGGGGAAAAAGATTAAATAATTTGCTCTCTTCCATTTTGGAAATATCTCCTGCCAAAATATTATCAGGTAATAGACTTAAACCCAATTTCCATGCCCAGGTTTCAGGCTTTCTGATAAAAGTTATTTTTATATATTTAGACCGGAAAGGTTGTCAGATTGATGTGGCAATAAATCGCCCAGTCGTTCGATATATAGTTTTCAGGAATCAGAGAACTAGAAGAGAAGAGGACTACCAGTCATTAAGTCAGGCTTTTTCAAGCTGTACCACTTAGTCCTCACTAAGGTGGAATTGACCTCATGACTAATGCTTTTTTTGTCCTTAAAGGAAGACCAGCATGGTGAAGTGTAAAAGGTATTGTTTAGTGTAGTGGTTAAAAGGACCAGGTTAGAAACAGGTTAGACTTTGAGTTCTAATCCCATCTACAGCACAAAGCCAGATGGATGGTCTTGGGCCAGTCACTTTCTCTCAGCCCTAGGAAGACAGCAATGGCAAGCGATTTCTAAAATCTTGCTAAGAAGACTGCAGGCACTTGTCCAGGCAATTGCCAAAAGTTAATACTGACTTGAAGCACATACACAAAAGGTGCTGAACTAGGAACGGGAAGTTCAAGGTTTTTTTAGGCAGAAAAGCCAGAAGAATGGCTTCAGGCCAGCCATTCTTTCTCAGCCCTAGCAAGAAGATATTGGGAAACTATTTTTGAAATATTGACAAGCAAACATCTTGGACCTGTTTATACAGTCATCAGAAGGGAAAATGTTCTCCGAGGATGGTAACAATAGCAACATTCTTAAAAGAAGTAACTCTAAGACACCAGAAAATACTGCCTGTATGAAATAGTGTGTTGAATGAAATAGAACAAATTGAGATCAGACATGTCTATGGAGATTCTCAGTCATCCAGGGCATGGTTGTCCCATAGGTGCTTTTTCAGGAGGCTCCTGGACTTACTGGGTTTTTTTTTAAGACATTTCGCTTCTCATCCAAGAAGCTTCTTCAGTGTCTGATCCACTCAGTCTAAAATTAAAAATGCATTATTTTCTGATTCTATCTGGAGACTGACTTTTTATATGCTTCCCTTATAATTTATGCTGGATTTAAGCTTATTTTATTGCTGCTACCTTTCCTTTCCATTTCCCCTTGATGCCAGGTTCATCAGGTTCAGCCGTGCAAATGTTGTCTATTTACACAACAGGATTATGTGGAAGACGTGTTGTTGCTGAATGAGTGAATAAGAAGCTGAGAAACCCCTGGGATGTTAGTGATCCCTTATAAAAAATTTTGCATACTAATTACAACTGACTTGAAATGCTAAAGAACATTTTTTCCCAAAAAAATATTTTTGTAGGGCACTTCAGGATAGAATATACTGCTTTGTTCACACACTGTTAAAGCAGGATTTTGTAAGCAAGAGGCCTAGGCTGTTTGGTATGCATCCATTTAACCATAGCAGACAAAAGGAGAAATGAGAGGGTGTTTTGATTACATTGTATTGCTCCAAATGTTATTTTCTCTAGTCATTCCAAAATGAAAGGGCAAATTTAGCTTGCATAATTTTATAGCACTTCAGTTTGTTACTGCCACATAGTAAGATACGTATGACTTCTTTGATCATAGTTTTTCTTGAGTAGCACGAGATATTTCACTCAAAAAACAAACAAACAAATGAGAGATAACGAGAGAAAGTGCTGGGACATTTTGATAAATATCTGGAATTTATTCATATTGTAGATGTAAAGTTCAAACTATTCTTCTGATTAAAAAATAGGAAAAAGATATGTTGTAATCTGCAAACAAAATAGGCCTGAACTTAATTGGATTGCTTGTTCTAAGAAATATAACGCAGTTTGAAATGAAATTATTTCCTTCCTTGTTGTTATATTTTTTCATCAAAATTTGGTTTGTTCATAAATATTCCTATCATTAAAAGGTTCAAAATCAGCTAATGCCGTAGCTTTTTTAAAAATCGAATCTTTTACCTATCACAAATAACCCATTATTATTAATTATAAAATCATTACAATTAAATGTTATATCCATAGATGTTATTCTAGAGTGGAATCCACCAATGGAATGAAGTACCCATGTTGATCACATAGCAGGATTTATTACATCTGTATGTAGGAAGTATATAGTCCCTTGGGAGTTGGGCGGCATAGAAATGCGACAAAATAAATAAATAATAAATAAATAGGCTGGTAGAAGGAAACAGTATTCAAAACATCATTTTGAAATAACCCTTTACATCCTGTTACTATTCAGCATAGGTCATCCATTTTATGAATGGATTTTAAATAACTACATTTTTCTCAGTAAGAATTTAGCATTGTCACTTCTGAATTGTTTGTAAGATAGTTAGAGTCAAATTCACATAATCATCTCTGTTAATGCATTCAATTTTACTAAAATGTCAACAGTGGTGTAGGATTCCTTTCCTTGAATCATTTTCTTGATCTAACACAGCAATTCTATGCAATTTACTCAGACAATAAACTAAGTGAATTCAGTGGACCTTAATCAGAAGAATATTCTAGTCTACTTATCTTTTCATTTGATAGTAACTATATATGAATAAAACCTCTGAACAAAATACAGATGTGCTCAATTCAGTGCAAGAATTTTGGAGACAGTGGAGTTACAGAAGCAACTGAAAGGAGCATTACAATACTTTGTCCTCTTGAAAGTGTGTTCCGGTATAACAGAACTAAGTGAGTAAAGAGCAGACAAGAGGGCAAGGGTTAGAGACTTGTGTCTGGTGTGTAATTTAATATGTAATGGGAGGATGACTTAACTTTGAACTTAGTATTATGAGACAGTGGTTAGATTGGGGTCAATCCCTTATTCGATTTTCAAATTTTTTTAAAAAAAACAGCTGCACAAAAGTGCTGGTTTGTTGTAAATATCAGTAGTCTTTTATCCCTTGTAGGGCAAATGGCAACTGCTGGAGTTTGTTATTATTTAAGTCCGCTAAGTTTGAACTAGTGGTAGAATTCAATTTTTTTTACTACCAGTTCTGTAGGCATGGCTTTGTGGGTGTGGTGTGGCTTGGTCGGCACGGCAGGGGAAGGATACTGCAAAATCTCCATTCCCACCCCACTCTAGGGGAAGAATACTGCAAAATCCCCATTCCCACCCTATTCTGGGCCCAGGCAGAGGTGGTATTTGCCAGTTTTCCAAACTACTCAAAATTTCCGCTACCGATTCTCCAGAACCTATCAGAACCTACTGAATTTCATCTCTGTTTTTGAACTGATCCATTTGTTTATCAGTTTCCTATCCTATATTTCATTTAGGTTGCCACGTGCAGGACTAATTTCTTTTATTATCAAATATAAAAGTGTGAAAATGTGACATAGACAATATCAAATTTATATTTCAACATGATTTCTGAGCTGAATAGAAGTAAGAATCTGGTAAATTTAGATTTGTAGGCTTTCTCTGTATTTCCATGTCTAAGTGATGTTCAGAAAATTCTCCTTAATGTCAAACCTAGTTTTAGTGTTGCACATTAACTTGGGAAACATAAATACATTATAGTTGACAAATTTTGGTCCCTTTCAGTTTTGATTATTAATGGGCAGATATGTATTTTATAACAAGTAAAATGTAAGTCCAGAAAAAAAGACTCAGGTGATTCTTTTACATGATGTCTTACTTGCTAGTTGTTATTTTAATGTTACTTACTTGCTAAGGTAAAACTAGATACTGATATTACCTAGAGAGGGTAATATTACAAATGAGCAAATAATGCTATACTGTAGTAGTTAAAAGTCAGCCATTATATGACAGTTGCATAGGAAGCCAAAGTAAGATGGAATGTATAATTTTTAATTCAATTCCTGGATTTCTGAATAAAATCTATTTCATTGCACATACTTTTGCTGCTTTCTTACTCCGTTGAGATTGCCCATGCCATCCTGAAATTATCTTCTGGAAAATGAAATGAATTGTTATATAATACCAACATATATACCAAACAATATCAATGACAAAGAAAAATAACAGCTCTCAAAAGAAACCAGCATGGCTGCATAAAGAACTTCTGACAAATTGAATGACAAAAAGGACAAGTATAAAAAGTGGGAAGAGGGGCACATAACTATTACAAATACCTAGTCATATTGGAAACTGATAACATCTTGAATGGAAAAGTCAGAGTCAACACAAAAGGAATACATCACGAGGGTCTGCAAAATATTAAAATCAAAGCTGAATGCTGGAAACATAATTAAAACCATTAATACATGGGCAGTTCCAGTGATACGATACCCAGCTGGAATCATCAACTGGACTTTGGCTGAACTGGAAAACTTGGACCGGAAAACGCGCAAACTTTTGAATATGTATCACGCTTTACATCCACAAAGTGACATCGACAGGTTGTACCTGCCAAGAAGAATAGGGGGCAGAGAGCTATTGCAAATCCATCAAACTGTAGAAGAAGAAAAACGAAGTTTGAATGACTATGTGAATCAAAGTACAGAAAAATTGCTGCAAGCTGTGAAAACAGAGAACTGGTAGTAAAACAATGGAAACAAAGACAGTCAGTATATAAGGAAAAACAGCTGGATGACTGATTAAATAGATGGAAAACCAAAGCTTTGCATGGACAGAACTTGAAAAACATTGAAGGAAAATGTGATAACAACTTGACATGGGCATGGCTTAAGATGGGAACTATCAAGAAAGAAACGGAAGGTTTAATACTGGCTGCTCAAGAACAAGCACTACAAATTAATGCCATGAAAGCGAAGATACAAAAAAA